GTGTCCTGCGATCCATCTTAAATTATTTCCTTTCCACTTCAAGTCCCATTGCATGTGTTAGAAAATATTAATTTACCACACCAAAAAAATCAACTTAAGTTTCAGAGTTTCCAACCCATTCGGAAGACTACAGAACCTGCCAATTCTCTCATGCTATTTTTTCCTCTGCTCAGGTCCAACTTGTTTGTTTCTCAGCTAGTTAAGCTATTAGACTTAAGGATTTTTGTTTTTTAAGATTTATTATATTTGTTTTAAAGGCAGAGTTACAGAGAGAGAGAGCACGTGAGAGAGCTGGGCCAGGCTTAAGCCAGAAGCCAGGACCTTCATCCAGGATTCCACATGGGTGCAGGGGCCCAAGGACTTGGGCCATCTTCTGTTGCTTTCCCAAGTGCATCAACAGGGAGCTGGATCGGAAGTGGAGCAGCTGGAATTTGAATGGGCATCCATATGGGATGCTGGTGCTGCAGGCAGTGGCTTAACCTACTGTACCACAATGCAGCCCCTTAGACTTAAGCTTTTAGAGACTTTCGGAATTGTAGAAATAGGAAGTGTGATTCTCATCTACAACTAGATTTAGGAAATAGCACCTACTTCATTGCCCTCTCACCTCTAAGCCAGGCTCTGCTGACCCATTCTCAAGTGTGGAGCATCATGTCTCATTTTACTTGAAGGAGAGGTTGGAAGTGTGGATGGCAAAAGCAACTTGTCTTCTGAAGCCTCTTTTTATCCAGGTGCCTTCAAGTTTATAACATTTTAAAATTTTTACTTATTTGAAAGGTAGGGCAGGGTGGGGGAAGAGAGAAAGAGACCTTCTACCCACTGGATCACTCCCCAAGTGCTCACAACAGCTGGGGCTAGGCTGGGCCAAAGCCAGGAGCCCAGATCTCAATATATGTCTCCCATTTGTGTGGAAGGGACCCCAGTACTCGAGCCATCACCTGCTGTCTCCAAGGTTTGCACTAGCAGGAAGCTAGAACGGGAAGCAGGGTCAGGACTTGACCCCAGGTACAATGATATGGGATGTGGGTTTCCTAAGAGACATCTCAATCACTGCATCAAATGTCCACCCCACATTTATATATATATATATATATTTTAAAAATTTGTTTGAAAGCCAAAGTTGCAGAGAGAGAGAGAGAGAAAGAGGGTTGGGGAGAGAGGGAGAAAGCGAGATTGGAGATAAATCTTTCATCTGATAGTTTACTCCCCAAATGGCTGAAATGGCCAGGGCTGTGCCAGACTGATACTAGGAGCTTTGAACTCCATCCAGGTGGCCCACGTGAGTGACAGAGGCCCAAGCATCTGGGCCATCTTCCTCTGCTTTCCCAGGCCACAGCAGGAATTTCGGATCAGAAATGAAGCAGACAGGACTTGAACCGGTGCTCATATGGGATACTGGCATCGCAGGCAGCAGCTTAACCCACTGCACCACAATCCCAGCCCCCAGATTTATAATATTTTGCTTACTTGGTCACTGCATATCTTTTTGTCCACAGCTCTCTGTCCAAGGTACCTGCTAAATATTGATGAAATGCACATTTTTATCAGTAAGGGCCTCACTGAATCTATTTGCTATAGAGTAACCTCTTGTTTTTGGATTCATAAACAAAGCAAAATCAAAACAATAGACTCCAAAAGCCCATTTTGTGTTTGATGGCCTGTCTTGGAGCTACAACAAGAGCACTGTCAAACTGCCATCTCTCTATAGCACTTGCCCCCAAATGCCACCCAGGTCTGCACCTGTGAAACCAGGATGGGCTTTGTGAGTCACTCTGTCTGCCACTACATAAAAAGCTAATTTCACATTCAAAATGTATGTTTTTTTTTTCAATACCAATAGCAACAAGAGTGTGCCAAAAATTTCCCCTGAAGCTCTAGTCTGTTTTTTAAACTACAGAACATTCTTTCATAGTTTGACAGTTAAAATGCTGCAGTTAATGTAATAAACAGAGAATTTTTCTAAGTAGCCTGTCAAAACAAGTGACACTTTTTTTTTTTTTTTGGCTAGCGAGTCTCAGATTCAGAACAATAGGAAGTACCTTTCAAAGCAACATCTTCATTATACAATCAAATTCTCAAAGTAATCTTCTCATCAAAGAATATTGTGTTATTTCTTTCCCAGTAATTACCCGAGTTGGGTAACCTCTCTGGAGTGGTGACTACTCTAAAATGCAGCTGTGCTGAGTTTAAAAATGGGGAGGGGGGTCCTGCCCTGGTCACTGTGGAGCCAGTGTATCTCATACATCTACACTTCTTGAGGACTTGGCAATGGACAGCAGAAAGTCAGCATTCCCAGGACCTTGGAACATGCCCTGCTTTCCAGGAGCAAAGTGTTTAGCTGCACTCTTCAAGGACAGCTGTGACACTGGTAATTCTCAAACAACTGCACTTGTTTTCTTTCCACTTAATAATCATAATAATAGCCCCCAAAGACTATTAGGAGACTTTAAAAATGGGATGTATTGTAGAGTTTGAATGTCTGCCTCACAAACTTACATTCTTTATTTTTCATTTTCTTATCTCTTAGGCGTTGTCATTCCAGTAGAAAGAAAACCCAAAAGTCAAAAGAAAAACTGCAAACCCAGCTCCAGCATTACAAAATTTCAAAATATTGTGCAGACAGGAAAATCCCAAGGCTACCAAAGTGACATCTTTTGGAATACGGGCGAACACTGTGCTGTAAGAGCCAGCGAGACTCCAGGGGTCTCAGATCTGGTATGCAATTCTCTCCGAAGGATCTGTGGGCTCCTGGGGATGGTGCAGTTCACCGCTATCTAGAAGAAAAAGCAAGCAGAACAGAGGCTCACCTCCAAGGGGGGCTCATCACAGCCAGCTCTTAGGTCTCTCGTGAAGGGTGAGTCAGTTAGAATGATCCCAGCTTATAGCAGAAACGCAATAAATGTTTGTTGCACTTGACCCTACTTGGTGAGTACCTCTCTCCCTGGATTATAAACCCCCCAATCATGCACAGAGCTAAGAAATGGCCCTAGTACCCCACACCAGCTTAGACCTCTCCTCTCCACATCCTGTTAACACACAGTATGCTTTCCTTTGTAGTATGTGACATGGCTGTGATTAAATGGTTGCTTGCATGGATAGTTACTTAAGGTCTTTCTCCCACGCTAGACAGAAAGCTCTGGGAGGGAGGACCAATCGTCTCATTCAGTGCTTCCCTTAATGCCTTAGCAGCTAACGTAGTAGCTAGAACAAAGTAGGTGCTCCGTAAATGCTGGTCAATAAACGAATGAAGGAAGTGACACGGGCTACGTCTTTGCCGTCAAGACTCTCACAGTTCACAGCCCCGTTTCCCAGGGCAACTCCTTACGTTGTGGGCTTCCTAGGTGCTGTGCCCTGTTGAGCTCCCCTTGGTTTTGGCCACCGCTGCATGAATGCCAGCAGTGTGCCCCTTCCCGAGGGACAACAGAAATCGCCTCTCACATTTCCAAGGGCCTGAGGAGGCTGTCCTGCCCTGATTCACAACCACTGCCTGAGGTTGGCTCGAATGCAGGTGGCAGCAAAAAGGAGGACAGAGAGGGGGATGAGCCAGCAAACACATGAGGGAGGACACGGAGAAGAGAGCGAGCGGGGAGGCAGTCCGGCAAGGGGGCACGGTGTGGGCGGTGGCGCTCACTGAAGTTCCCCGTGCCCCCGCCCCCGAGAGCTCTGCTGCGTGCCCTCAGCCCCTACCCCTGCGATCCTTCAGGGCAGAGAGAGTGCAAATTGGCCGGGCAGGTTTCTTGGACTGTACTCCTGCTCAGGTCAGCAAGGCTCTCGCCTGTCTCTTTGATTATTTTGGATTTTCCTCTTCCATTTTTGTTTGAAGATAAGGGTTTTGAGGCTGAAAGAGCCGACAGCCATGGTTCTAGAGTTAAGGATGATGGTGCCAACTGGGAGGAGGAAAAGCCTTTGAAACACACGATGGGGGAGAGGAAGACCCAAGAGGAAGTTTTGACAAAGGGGACATGGTGTGACAAAAATGAAACACGCTGAAAAGCCTTTGCAGCTCGGAGCCTGGGCCAGTGAAAGGGAAAGTGTCCTGAGGGGACAGAATAAAGCTGCCCTCGCGGTGGCTGTTGTGAGTGGTGCGAGGGACAGACTTTGGGAAGTTGGTCTAAGGGATACCGCTCTCTTGGAAAGTGCCCGGCGGACACGAAGACGCGGCCGCTCAATGCTCCTGTCAAGACCTGCGATTCAATGACAGGCAGCCAGGGCGTGATGCAGAGTCCAGAGCCGCAGCTGCCTGGCACTGGTCGCAGGGCGGAGGCGACGTCTTTTCCAGCAGAGAAACATGAGCCTGAGCGTGGTGGCTTCAGAACCAAGGGCCAAGGCACTCCCTTAGCAAAAGGCTTTCCTGCGGATTGGGAGGCAGCCCAGGCTTCTTTGCAAGCCAGGGGGCCATCATTAGGACGCCCTGCTCTGCCGCTAGTGGGGCTCCGGGCGGTTTCCCTGAGTTGATCGCGTTATAATCCCCAAATCCGCTGGTGGGCTTCAGCTGAGACGGCAGGGGGCGCCTGTCTCACCAGCTGAACCGCATCTGAAGGGATTCCTGAAAATTAGGCATCTGTGAACCCAGTGCAGAAACCTCAGAATGTGGCCAGCAACAGGCTGAATGAACGAATGAATGCAAGTGGGCATGAGGGTTCTGATAACTCCTGTCCTATTGGATAAGCAAAACGGAGCTGCCGCAGTCTGGCACAGCAGCAAAACCATGTCTGTTTGTCCCTGCCCAAAGGTCTTTTATATAGGAGACGCCTCAGTTTGTCATCCTGTGCCAACTGCTGGCCATCTCGAGAGTTCTGCAGAGGAGAAATGGAGCTAGCCGGCTCCAAAGTGAAAAATGCAGAGCAAAACTGAGACAAATGTGAAGCAGCACCCCGTCTAGGCGTCTCCTGCGGCCCCAGGCCAGCCCTGGACGCGGGAGGTCGCAGGAGCCCGGGTGCACCTGTGCAGGCGGCGGGGCGGTGTCCCGGGCTGCCCGGCGCGCAGGCGCTCTCACTCACGGTTTGCGCAGGATCATCCGCATGTGGGCGTCAGGGCCCATCTGCGAGAGCAGCAGCATGGTGTCCTGGAGCTCTTCGTCGCACTCCTTCTTCTCCTCCTCAGTAGGCAAAGGGGCATCCTCCTGCTCGTCATCCAGGAATCGATAAAATAAATATTTGTCTTGGAAATGGTGCTCCTGGTCCACTGCGGGGAACATGGAGGCAAGCGTCGGCGGGGACCTCTGCCTCCCGGCCCCGTTCGCCAGAAACAGGCAATGGTGCCCAGCCCCTGCGGTGAGACTCTGCACCCTTCGCACCCCGCCTGCCCCAGGGTGGGGCAGCTGGAAGTCTGTTCGTGGCTGCAGTCATACCCAACACAGCCCGCCCGGGCCTCCGTGGGACTCCCTTGGAGAACCTGCCAGCTTTGCTGAGATGCGCACTTGGACTTGGAGAAACCGCCCTGGTGACATTTTCTAGGTCCCTAACAGGAATAAGCCCTGTAATGGTTTTGGGACGTGCGGCCTTTAAAAAAAAAAAAGCTGCTTTTTCAGGGTCAAAATGCACATTTTCCTCTATGTACTGTTTACTAATGTTTCTGTCTGCACTTTGACAAAAAAAAAGTTAGAATAAAATTGTTTGAACAAAGACTGGATCAGGTTTCTAGGTTATACACTCCTTAGAAGAATTTTATGGTAATTTGCTTCTAGTTATGATTTTAAAAAGTTTTCCTTCTTATTCTTTAAAAGAACAAGATCAAAATCTTCATAGGGCAAAAAACAGTGAACTCAGCTCAGAACCCCTCATCCACAAAGGTTCAGAGTGAAAATGCAATTAAAAGTTTACTTTGGTGCCAGAATTTTTGAAATCTCCATCATTTTTTTTCAAAACATACATTTTCAAAATGCATGTTTTAATGCAAAAAAATGGAAGCTCATGGAGTTTTTTTCCCATAATAGGCATTTTATCATGTGCATTTTGATGGAAACAAATTGAAATCCAGACAAAGGTTTTTGTTTCATACTATGCATTTCCTGTGAACCTTTTGAAGGCCCCTCAGTTCTGTCTTAAAGCCGTCACCCCCTTTACAGGATGGAACTCTTACACTCTGAAAGGCCAAGGAGAAGCCGTGGACTCTGGCAGCTCCAAGAGGGAGCCCCAGAGCAGCAGCAACAGCTGGGAGTTGTTGGAAACACACTCAGGATGCATCCTAGACCTGCTACATCAGAATCTACATTTTTACAAGGCTCTCAGGGGAGCTGTATGCACATGGGAATGTGAGAGACCAGCAAAACCATTATCAGATTCCCAGGTGTGGGCAAATGAAGTGGCTGATGTTACCATTTGGTCTGTTTTGAAAAGTGCATGTGAGCCAATGGTGTGAGAAGTTGAGTCACAGTTGTGCACCGGCCCTGCACGGTCACTGTGTTGGGTGGCAGCCCCTGCGGTCATTAGGGGCTGCAGTCTGCAAAGCACATACCTGCCTTTAAATATGGCCATCCTGTGGGGGATATAAATGGGCTCTCCCAGGCGGCAGCGCCATTAAAAGGCAGCTTCTGGATTCATTACCTGCTTGCATGTCGTCAGCCTAGCCACACATGTCATTGCTCTTCCTTCTGCCCCTGCATCAGGATTGCTATGCAGTGCTTAGAGTATAATCACACTATCAATGAACCGTGAATGCAAACTAATAAACGTAATTGGAATGGATGCACTCAGGTTGCAATTTCATTTTCCTTTCATACACTCTCCGAAGTCAGGAAGGTACAAATGGTGGAACACGGCAATGCATAGCATCCACTCGCCGCGTCTGCACCGTTAAATGAAGGTGTCAGCTCCGCGGTCCCAAAAGGGATCCTAATTCTTTCTAGTCCATTTGGGAGGCGAGCAACCGCTTGTCCAGGGAGATGCACTTAGCATTCCTTGAGGCTTTCCCAGGAGTGCGGTGCATCGTACGCATCTTACCGTGGTTGAGCACCCCATCTTCTAGCAGAACTTGCCACATGCCAACAGCTTGCGTCCGGGAGTGAGCACACGGAGTCTGCTGCATCATCCAGTCCACCAGCTCGGTTCCCACACAGCATTGTCTGAAGGGGGGGGGATGCAAAGATGGGGAAATCAGCCCCTTGCAGACAAAAGATGGGGGTAGCTTTTGAGAGGAGGACTTCCCAAGGAGTGCAGTGCCCTCCCATCACAGGGGTCTCACAGCAAAACAAAGCATCACAAGGTGTTGCCTCCGGTTCTCAAACTTGATGAAAACACTCAGCTCACGAGGGAACCCTTGTAAGCAACGCCGGCCAACAGCTAGAACTCAACAAACGGCCGCATCAGGGGAGACCTGAGGCCACTGTGGGAGTGGGGGCGGGGGCGGGGGCGGGGGCGGCGCACGATATCACGAGCGATTCAGTGAAGTGGCTCCCTTCACCGGAGCCTTGTGACGGGCTGAGCTGATGCTTGGGAGGCACTTGGAGGTGCTCCCCGAAGGGCGCTGTGTTAAGTGCAAAATTATAGAGCACTTTATTTTTTCAAGTAACACTACTGAGCTTCTTTGGAGGGGTGTTGGGAGAGATGAGCAATTAGTGATGCAAATCTCTCTTGAAAAAAGTTCTGTGTAATGAGCATTAGCACTTCCGCAGAGCCTGTCTGGAGGGCTGCAAATGCTCTGTCTTCACACAGTAATCCCCCCCACCTCCTCCTCCTGATGTGCACGGGCAAAGCACACACATGTGAGTGAGGAAGGGTCATTACGCACACGCGTTAGGAAGTCTTGAAAGCTCCCAGTGATGAGTGAGACGGCCGGTGTTCACAGCAGGATGGTCAGGGGAGGAAATCAAATCTTGAAGTCCTGGGGATGGATCCCAGGGGACAATGGAACAAAACAGGGGGTCAGAGGGGCTGCAGCTGGGACTGAGTCACTGATGGCCTCTCCTCCCATGTGGAGGATGACCCTGCCTCTGGGACACAGTCTGGGATGGATCAAGGCCAGAGAGCTTAAGTTGAAGTAGACTCCTGGCGCTGTGCCATTTTGTGAAGTCTTGAACTGCCGGAGACGTGAAATGCAGCATTAGGCCTAGTGCTGGCTGGCCGTGTGACTCTGGCCACTCACTGATTCTGTTTCCACGTCTGTAGCAGCAAAAGATGGTTTGTAAGGTCCTTCCTGGTGCTCACGTTCTAGGACCTCTGCAATGGGTTGCCTTTTGGGATGCCCTGATTTGTGGCTGACCCTGACCCAGGGTCTTACAGTCTTGTAAGAGTATCAAAAATCAAGTTCATTTGGCTTTTAACTCATTGATTGCTTTACTACAAGGAGTACGTGAAGTCAGGATGAGCCCAGAGCACCTGAATCCTTACAAAAACTCCTGCAGTCAGAACATGGAACATAGACCCACTGCATGCTACCTGTAGCTGATGGAATTGCTGGGGAATCTTTCAATCAATGGTTCCTCGCTTTGGAAGAACAGACAGGAGATGTGAGTGTTGGTGTCACTGGGGTGATCCTACCTCTGCAGAGGCTTCCTAACTCACCCTCCCCTTGGCTCCCACTGCCAAATTGCAACAATGAATTAATGGGATGAGGAGCAGGAGGGAGAGAGGATGGATCTGGAAAGTACAAGACCTGGGATGAGGCAACTCAAACTGAGCTGCAGGAAAAAGAAAGCACACATCTGCCTTCTGGTTGAGTCTACTGGTCATTGCCGGCAGATCATTAGTTTGCATCATAGGGTGTGGAGTGGACATCACACCTATATGTCAGGGGTTTACAGTTTCAGTGCTATGGAGCAAGAAGGATTCTGACTTCTAGTTTCCATCACTTGTCACCCAAAATGACATGTTTTAATAGAGTTTTCCAATGTAAGCCAATACTTGGGACAGCATAATCACATCTTAAATTAAGGAATAAAAATTTTAAAAGAGAAAAGTCCTTTAGCCATATGAGATTTTTAAGATCCATTCAAATGAATTAAGGAAGTTGAACTCTCTCTGGAGACAGGTGACACTTAATTTTTTTTTTAACCTTTACTTAAAATTATAGCAGGGCATAAGGCCACAGATTCTGAAAGAATCAACTTCTAGGGTTGGAGAAGAAGACTAGAAATGTAATTATCGTCAGCTGCAGCTTGCAAAAATCCACAGGAAGGGGAACAGAGGACCAATCTGTCCTAAGAAACCATGTGTATGAGGAATGTACTACTGATAAAAGGGAGGTGCTTCTTAAATCTCATCTCATTTCCAAAATTCTGTCAAGACAGGCCAACATAAATGTGGCAAACTGTCCACAACATGGACATATGGTCTTGCAACATATTCACCCCAAATGCTGGCAGAAGAGGGTTACTCTGCCTGGAGTGTAGAAAAAGTGACCGAAAGAAAAAATATTTGCAATGTTTCTCCATCTTTGGCCTTGGGGAAGAAGGAGAGGCAGAGGGAGAGGGAGATAGAGGGGGCGGGGGGGGGGGAGAAGGAAAGGGAGAGAAAGGGAGAGGGAAAGGGGAGAACAGGAGAGAGGAAGGGGAGAGATAGAGGGAAAGCAGATCTTGAAGTATGTATCCTGGAGGCACATATACTTGGAAAGGTGAACCTGGTCTAACTTTATGGGAGCTGTCATAGGTGGTAGTCACTAGAAGACATGTATCCTAACAATAGCTTTAAAATTTGTGTTGTAGCTTTCCATTGGGTCTTATGAATTTGGTTCCTGTGAATCAAATGGGTTTTGACTCATGCCCAGGCTAATGGGTTCTGAGGTCATGTCTAAGCTAAATGGGAAAGAAAGCCCTACTGGTTGATGACAGAGGGCTGTGTCTGAACCCTGGGTTCAGGGAACAGGGTGAAGGCTCATGTGCCATATATTAGCTATTCTGGTTCTTAAATATTTGCTGATTGATGTAAGCAAAAGTTAGGCATTAGACCCAGATTCTTATCGGGTCCCCATGGTTCAGCCATCCCAGAAGGCTGAATTACCCCAGTAGCCTCCAGATTTATCTTTGTCAGTGACAGCTATAGACAGGGCTCCTTCTTCCGCTGAGTATGGATATGATGCAGAGCTGTGTGTCTTAGCATACAAATGCTGAAGTGAAATCCTGCATTCAAAAATCAGCTCCACAGAGGTCTTTGCATATTTTGTTCATTGCTATACGCTTAGGGCTTGGGACACGGTGGTGGCTGGCGCCCAGTACCTGATTAATAAACTTGTGAAATAAATGAATGACTGAATGAAAGGTCATTGAATTTGGAAATCAATCAAGCTTGGTTGAAATGTTGGTTCTTCTATTTACTAGTCTTGACTTAGGACAAGAGGACAATTTATTTTCTCTGGGCCTCAGTTTTGTCATCTGAAAAACAGTCATACACGGTTCTGGTGGGGATGAAACAACATGGAAAGTGGCCTGGTGCCCATCTTCCAGAATAAGTAAGCAGTCAGTAAATGTTAAATGTGATATAAGCCTGGTAGGTTTCCTTAAAATGTTTCTTTTATTCATAATAATTATACCAATGTCCAAACAAATGAGTTCTTGAGCAACTTCTGGGGCTATTACTGGTAATTAAATAGCCATAGTGAAGCAGGTATCTAAGACAAGCATAGCTCTCTCAGAACCTGAAGACTTTATAAAACAGGCTGCCGCCAGATGAGAAATAGAGAGAGGCATGTTTGTCCCAATCCACGAAACGTGAATCTGAGGGGGCCACAGCTTTTAGAATTAGTGCACGTACCTGTATGTCTTTAGGTGGTATTTTCTATCTCTTATCATGTGAGGTGCTCGAGAGAGAATGGCATTTCGTAAAATTTTTCCAGCCCTGAGGATCTTCTCTGAAGGGACCTGGATTTTAATCAGGTAGAAGGAGGGGAAAGAGAAGAAAAGGAGAATTTATGAAGGAGAGCACTTGGGAGGAATCCTTCAATTACTTTCCAATCTAAGTCTGGCTAGGAAAACATCATCCTCATACATATTTACGTTGTTCACTTGTGCGGCATGTCACTGAATATTTGTCCTAAGAAATGTATCAGGTTTCTTGATCTGATGCTCTGACATATGCACCACCTCCAAGGCACCTGCAAAGCTAGCGCTGATGGCTCATCAACCCACCTACGTCCCATTACCTTGGTAATGGTGTTAGCAGGACGGAGAGGAACGTGAGGTTCAATGAGAGGTGTCTGAAAAATAAAATGTTAAAGCAAAAGAAAATTAAACAAAAAATTCAGTAAAGAAAATTATGGGTTGGGGGATAATAAGAAATATCAATTTTTATTAAACGCAAAATAGAATTAAAAAAAAAGATAGCATCTACCTAGAAAACTTGAATGCATGAGCATTCAAAGGGCAAAACAGATCATTCAATTTGCCAACATTTAAATATAAATTATTAAAAATGAAAAAAAAACAGATAGGAATGATTCGATGTTTGTTGGCTTAATGAGAAGGGCATAAATATCCACTCAAAGCATAACAAACATCAGAGCAGAGGAAAAAGCAAAACAAGATAAACAGAGGTTAAAATGACCCACTCGGGGGCTGGGGATGAGGCATTGGTTTAGGATGGAAATGAGCCATTCCATTCTCTGTCACGTAGTTAAGATTCCCCTTTGGCTCTCTGTGCGTTTAGGAAGGAAGTTTTCACATTTCAGCGAGGCTGCGAGCCGGTTCTGTGCACTCGGGTGCCCAGAGGCAGCGGTGCCCTCCTTCTCGTTCTTTGACGAGGGGGTGCCATTCTCAGGGCTCTGCGGCTGTCACGGGAAAGCTCTATTTATTACCCACATTCTTCAGACGCAAGTGCTACATGTGAATCCAGAGAAATCAGCGGCTTCAGGCTACACAGCTGAGCCCTCTTGTCTGACCAAACCCTTTAGCTCCCTTTATCTGAATTACCAAAGGCCGGGGGACAGAACCACCAGTCCCACTATCAGAGGGAAGAAAAGATGAGATTTCTTATGAGACTGTGGTAGGCAGAATTACAGCCTCCCAAAGATGTCCACGTCCTCAGCACCAGAACCTACGATGGGATTCGCTGCGTGGCCCAAGGGGCTCTGCGGGTGTGGTTAAATTCAGGACCAAAGTCTGAAGATTAGCCTGGTGTTTCCAGGTGGACTCCTGTCATCGCAGGGAATGCTTTAAAGACAGAAGAAGGGGCAGAGGAGCCTGAACCCAAGGCAGCAGCCCGGGAAGGAGTTGGCCCCACCTGGCTGGCTTTGAAGACGGAGGAGGCCAAGAGCCAGGGAAAGAAGGTGGCCTCTTGAAGATGCGAAAGGTTTCTCCCCACGTGCCTCCACGAGGATGCAGCCTCCAACACCCCGGCTCAGCTCACTGAGATCCATCCAGCCTTTTAAGCTGGCACACAATCAGGCTATTAGTTTGTGTTGTGAGGAGCCACTTCGTTTGTGGTACTTTGTCAGAGAAAATTAATACAGAGATTACCCTACTTTCTACTGAACACCCTGCGTTTTGGCAAACGGAAGATAGTTACAGGGAAAATAAATGGGTATGTTTTCCCTCTAGTCCTAATTTAAAAAATATGGTCAATGGGGGAAATGAAAATTAACATTAATTTAGAAATCTTTCGTATACCAAAGTACAAATACACACCTATAAACACACACCTTTCTTTTGATCAATAATACACTTCAAGTGAGTCTATGCTTTTCATGTTAGAATTAAGGAAAAAGAGAAAAGAATATTAAACTTCAGGAAACAGCATAGAGGAGATACAGATGTTTTTGGAATGGCTGACATCTCACTGGACCTGGTATTTAAACATTTTCTTCACCTGGTTGGCATCAGGTAGACTTTTCCTATCGCGGTCACTAGAGCAATATCATAGTGACAACAGCACACCGTTCACAACCAGCACAGACCACGGAACGCCAGGGTGCTCGCTCAATGGTGGCTTTAATCAGAAGCCAACTCTGCCCTGAGAGCAGACCCGTAGGGGCGAGGGGGTCATGAGCGCATGGTCTCCTTCCCTTGTCCTAACACCTCCAAAGAAGACAGGGGGAATTCTGTGATGGCGTAGCACCTGGAAAACGTGCAGAAGTGCCACCATCACACCAAGATGCTGCAACGGTGCTAGTCAAGCATGCTGGGTATTTTGGAATCATGAGTTCCCAGTACTCCCGCATTCCACATCCTTACATTACACAGGGTCACCTGCTGAGCCTCTGGATAGTCGTTTTGTTTGTTTGCTTGTTTGTTTTTGGCAGGCAGAGCTAGACAGTGAGAGAGAGAGAGACAGAGAGAAAGGTCTTCCTTCTGCTGGTTCACCCCCCAAATGGCTGCTATGGCCGGCGTGCTGTGCCAATCCAAAGCCAGGAGCCAGGTGCTTCCTTCTGGTCTCCCATGTGGGTGCAGGACCCAAGCACTTGTGGATCCGAAGCCAGGAGCCAGATGCTTCCTCCTGGTCTCCCGTGCGGGTGCAGGGCCCAAGCACTTGGGCCATCCTCCACTGCCTTCCCAGGCCACAGCAGAGAGCTGGACTGGAAGAGGAGCAACCGGGACAGAACTGGCGCCCCAACCGGGACTAGAACCTGGTGTGCCGGCGCCGCAGGCGGAGGATTAGCCTAGTGAGCTGTGGCATTGGCCAACCTCTGGATAGTCTTAAATATAATAAAAGAAGCCTACTTCTTCCTGTTTTGGAGGAAGGCAAGGCAGATATATGAGGTGCAGAGCACGCAGCTGTGAGACCAGCCTTGGAAGTCACCTTCTGTGACTTCCTGTGAGCACACTCTTTTCCTCTGCACTGATTTTGGAAAAGCTGGCTGAGCCAGGGGTCAGAGAGATGCCCACACTTGAGGATGACTGACGATTGTCTGTTCTGTGGTGTGAACAGTGAGACACTATTTGCAGATGGCATCTTTTTATTTGCGTTTACAGAAATGGCCACACAGTAGTCCTTGGAGGAGGGAATGGCCAAAATTATGGGTAATACTGGATTCTATGTGCTATTTTATGTCTTTTCTATATGCATCTATGATAAAGCTTAATTTATAAATTAGGCACACTAAGGGATTAACAACAGTAACATAATAAAAGAGAACAATTATAATGATTTTTTTAAAGATTAATTTTTATTTATTTGAAAGACAGAGTTACAGAGAGAGGTAGTGACAGAGAGAGAGGTCTTCCATCTGCTGGTTCACTCCCCAAATGGCCGCAGTGGCCAGAGCTGTGCCGATCTGAAGCCAGGAGCCAGGAACTTCCTCCAGGTCTCCCATGTGGGTGCAGGGGCCCAATGATTTGCGCCATCTTCTACTGCTATCCCAGGCCATAGCAGAGAGCTGGATCGGAAAGGGAGCAGCCAGGACTAGAACTGGTGCCCATATGGGATACCGGTGCCTAAGGCCAGGCTTTAACCCGCTGCTCCACAGCGCTGGCCCCTATAATGATATATTGTAATGACAGTTCTCTTCCTTTAACTGCCATGGGGCAGGCAGCTTACACAATATGGTTACACTGCATAAATCAGTGATTTGCATCCCAGGTGGGACAGAGCAGGAGGCCATGAGATTTCATCCCACTATTCAGAACAGAGCCCAATTTAAATTTCATGGATTGTTTATTTCTGGAACTTTCTTGTTAATATTTTCAGACCATGGTTAACCATAGGCAATTGAAACTGTAGAAATCAAAACCACAGATAAGGGGAAACCACTGTATTTTAACAAAATGCTAACCGGTGGTCCCTAGGTTAGTTTATTTTGTTGGACAGCTCCCCTTTTTGGTTCCTTGGAACCCTGAAAACAAAGTAATACTAAAGCCAGGGCAGCATCAAGCTTCAGCCGAGATTTTTCCTTTGATTTGCAACTTCTAAAGGTGTAAAATGTACACGAGGTTGTCTTTTAGCTAGAAAACCCTAGTACCAGTTCCAGGACCAAGAGGCTGTTTAATCTCTTGAAAGGCAGCATTCTCAGAACCGTCTCCAGCTCAAAGATTTAGGTAGAGGGGTGACACAATGAATGGATGCTTTGAGTAGGGGCCGGTCCCTTCATTTAAACAAAACCTCCAAGGGACACGTGCCGGGGGGCAGCAAGGGAAGCTTTATTTTGAGGGAATAGGGATTGGTCTTTGAAAGGTGCACCGTATTCAGTTGGGCAATAGCCTGTGTTCTAAGAACAAGGTTGGTGCCCGACAGCCATCTGTTGTGACACAGAGAGCATGTGTGACAGCAGCTCTGTCCTGGGAATCGGTCTCTGACCACTGCCTGTTCAGGGCCCCTCCATTGTGAGGGTGACTTTCTTGCTTTTGTATCTGCTTGTTTATTTTCTTTTTGGTTTCCCTGTGCTTTCAAGCAAAGCTTCTTTTGAGAATTTTACCTCCGCTGTGCTATAGACAAACATGAAGATTCCCATTTTCTGGATGATTTGGTTCACTAGGGAAAGGGGAAGCATGAGGGTGTTAGGGAGAGTCAGAGAGAGCAGGCCAGCCCTAGAGGCAGCTCCGCATGCACTACCCTCTTATGCAGTTATCACTCTCATTATTTACCAGGAAAACGCAGGCTGGGTAGGGTCTTTGCTCATGCAGCTGAGAGGTGGAATTGCTGAGCCGAATGCAGGTCTACCTCGCCCTAGCGCCTCCACTGCAGGGCCAGCTACCCCGTCCCACCCGCACTTCGCTCACAGAGATAGCTTGGTTCAGACATGACCTCATGCATTTCCGGCATTAAATATTCATAATCACTTGCTGAGATTACATATTAGCACCTTTCCCTGTGCCTGGCCTGAATTCATGTTCAGAAAAGCAACTTTGTGATAATAAAACACTCAGCATTGATGAACTGCCCCTTCAGGGTGAAGGCAAACACACCAGGGAGTGGGTTCCAGCCAAGTGCACCCAGGAATCAGGAAATTTCCCAGAGTGTTGATCACAGAGGGTGGCAGAGTTGAGCAGCCAAATGGGCCAGTGTGAGGTAGCCCTGACATTAGCAGTGCAGAAAACCCCTCGGGAGAGGGACAGGGAGAAGGGAGAATCACCAGGGCCTGGGCCTAGTCCTAGTGCCAGCTGGAATCTGGACAGCCTGGAGCAACCACAGTGGTAGAACCACTGCTGCCTCTGCCACCCATCACCCGCCCACTGCTGAGAACAGAGTGAGGACTTCCTGGATCCAGTCTCCCACCAGCAGAAGCCAGAGAAGGAAAGAAAATATCATTTTACAAAGGACGAGGCT